CCACACACTACTGAAAAAAGCCCAACATGAACCAACAGCATGCACTAGCAGCCCAGAAGGTCAACTGTTTCCTAGGGTGCATCAAAAGAGGGATGGCCAGCAGGGCAAGGGAGGTGTTTGTTCCCCCCTATGCTGCCCTTGTAAGACCCCATCTGGAGTACAGCATCCTGGCTTGGGGCCCTCAACACAAGAGTATGTTGAGCTGTTGGAGCAGGTCCAGAGGAGGCCACAAAGATATTCAGAGGGCTAAAACACCTCACTAATGAACAACAAGGAATCTGGGCTTGTTCAGTCTGTAGATGAGAAGACTCTGAGGACACCTCATTTCAGCCTTCCAGTACTTCAGGGGAGCTTAAAGACAGGAGGGAGGCAGGCTTTTTACATGGGCAGATAGTAATAGAAGAAGGGGGAATGGTTTTAATCTAAGTGTCTCCTCTCTTAGTTAAGATTTGAGTAAAGAGTTTCCTACTAAAAAGGTGATGAGACACTGGAACTGGTTGGCTGGAGTAGTTGTGGATACCCCAATTCCTAGAGGGGCTCAAGACCAGGTTACACAGGGCACTGGGTAACAGGGTCTGGTCTAGCATGTAGCAACCCTGCCTACAACAGGGAAGGGGGTTGGAATTAAATGATCTTTAAGGTCACCTGTGCCATTCTATGATTGCTTCTGTGATCTTGAGTCAGATGCTGTTTGTTACAGTCTGTTTTTGACTGTGGGACATGTAACTAATAATTTAAATATTCTAATAGTATATTGTCTCAGTGGAATAGGTTAACAACTTTCATCTTGCCTTTAACCTTAAGGGATACTGTAGTCATAGCAACACTAACTAAAAAAAAAAAGAGCAATAAGGTTTACAAAAGAATGCAGCTTACATTCTTCTGCTGGCAGGAGTAGGTGATGAATAGAGGCTCTTAAGTGCTGCTGATGCTCTCCTTGATCTCAAGAGTGGGACAGCATCTTCACCACACCAAGATGGCAAACCCTTCAATTTTGTATGTTCTGACAAGCTTGTTGGCCAAAGCAGGCATCTTCTGCTGGACCTTGGAGTGCATTTGGAACTAGCTGCTGGAGTAACACTATCCATACTGAGGGTAGGTGTTTGTACTGTTCTTTTCTTGGAAAAACTGGTTGCAGAGCTGCTGCCAATGTCTTCAGCTGGAAAGGTCACAGTCAAACGTACCGGGCTTTGGCAAGTCTTCTGTATTTTCTGAAAGATGCATTAGACAGACATATTAAGCTAACTAAGTCCATCAGTATATTGTTTGGAACCAGAAAGATGAGGAAGCCTCTCTGAGTTGAATCTCTATCTCTCTCTCATATTATGTTTAGTCTAGCATGAATGCTTTTCTTGTGTACCCATTTGGATTGAATCATTTGCTCCCCTAATCCTTGGAACTTGTCAAGGACTTCTGTATGCTTTAGAAGAAAAGCACCTGCTGATTTTGTGCAAGAAAGAGCCAGCCTCCTTAATACATGCTGATTAATTTAATGTCTGCCACCAACAGTAAGAACAATACAAACTTCAAACTTTGCTAACATAATACTACCGACTGAATTTTATGAGTCCAAATAGGTTGACAATTCAGAAGAACATCCTAATAAACAGTGTGGATACAAGAATGTATATATAATATATAAAGCTACACCTTTCTCAGAAACAATTATTTGCAAGCAATGGCAGTCTACCCACATTCTTCCTCTGCTCTGTCTTATGTGGTGAAATGCAGTAAGGGAAAAGGTTTTGCTTGAACTACTTCCCGTATTCCTACTTTTCACTTTCTTTCTTGTTCTGTCATAGCCATAATTTATCCAGATAATAAAAGCAAGATTTACCTAGCAGGGATAATAAAATTCTACTAGTTCATATAATTATAGGCTATCCTGAGCTGAGAGGGACCTATAAGAATAGTCAGGTCAAACCCCTGTCTACAGACAGGGCCACCTAAAACTGAAATCCTATATCTGAGAGCATTGTGTAAATGCTTCTTGAGCTCCAGCAGTTAGGGGCTGTGACCTCTGCCCTGGGGAGCCTCTTCCATTCCCATCACCCTCTGGTGCAGAATCTTTCCCCAATCCCACTTGACCCTCCCCCAGCACAGCTCCATGACATCCATCCTCCCCAGTGCAGCTCCATGACAAAAAAAAAAAAAAAAAATAGACACTTCCTACATGTCACTGCAAAGACAAAGTACCTGTGACACTGTTCCAAAAGCATTTCTTGCTGTTTTTGTAATACTTTGGAGCACTTGGCTCTTCTTTCTTGCTTCCATGTTTTCCCAAAGTGGTGTCTCACGGAAATTCAGCTCTACTTGCTTTAACGGTATTCGCTTTCTTAGAGACATGCAGATAGTATTAAGAGAACTGAAAGAAGTTTTCCTCTTGAATTTGTCTGGTACAGGGCTCTCATTCTCAAGGTCAGCTAAAAGCTGGTGTCTCTGCCAGTCCATTGTTGCCCTGACATTTTGAAGCATAGATGCCATCTTGTTCCTGTTCTTCATCAACCTTATTTCTAAAAGAATGAGAATAAGAAGAAAAATTAGAGCAAAGTACATCAGCGTGGAAAAGGAGAAATGGAAACTGTTCTATAATACGTTTAGCTATATTTACCTAAAACAACAAAAGTAGAGCCAAGCAAGTGTTTTACCTCTGAGCTTGAAGGGAAGAAAACATGAATTTCTACAGCTATTTATGTATGTCTGTGAGCAAGTCTTAATTTGTTTGATTTTCAGGACATCAGTCCTGGTATACTGTGAGATTCAATATTGTAAAGTAGAATAGAGTTTAACTGCAAGTTAAACCAAGGTCTAACACAAAATTTTTGGCTTCATTAAATCAGCCTTCTACTTCCAGGCAAGTTTGCAGAGCTCCTATGTCTCCTGCCTGAAAGCTTACACTTAAGTCACTGTTACAACTGTAGATAGACAAGTACAGAAGTGGACATGACTGCTAGTGACAAAAGAAAAGCGAGAAAGGCTGAAATGCCCGTTGCTTATAATTATCTGTAAAAATGTTATGTATTCTAAATTCCTAATTTTCACTTGCTCATTTGCAAGATATACTGCTGTTACTTCTGAAAAGCAACTGAAATGCAAATGTATTTTAGCAACCTGAAGTAAGAGTGAATTTTACCAATACTGCATTACGAATTAGACATACAGTGGATAAAAAAAAAAAAAAAAAAAAAACTGGCAAACTTCTACCATTGTTACATTACATATTACAAAATGCTCCATATATTCCTGATTAAATCTCATTTCCTAAATAGTCCCCATCCCTCAGAAGTGTTCTAACTTATCTCAAAATGCAAGAAATTAATTAAATCTTTTAAATCCAAAAACGTTCAGGGTATTAACACTTTCGGTGCATTTTTGCACATAGCAGCAAGGAAAGACTTGCAATTGAGCAATGTCAGTTAACCAACTACCCCATAGCTTATCTCGCTTCTCTGTAATAAGATGACGTCTACTGTCGGTTAACCGATTTGGTTAATCGATGCTGTCAAGCACTGTTTATCCCCGCTGGTGGCTCTCAGCCGCAGCCGCTCCCTCACCGCGAGCTGCCGCAACGAACGGCTGAAACCACAATAAGAAGGGTGTAAAGGCGATAGATACTAAGGCTGGAGGAGACAAAGTCTCCTCGTTCGCAGGAAGCAACCGGCCAGCTCTACCCATCGCTTGCCTTGGGTCTCGTACTTACGCAGGCAGGAGACGAGACGGAGCAGAACGCCACCGGCCCACAGCCGTCTCGGCCGCCGCGTTCAAATCCAGCCCCGCCTGCTCTCTGATTGGCGGCGATGCTTCCCGCTCGCCCCATTGGCTGCCGCCTCACGCACGCGCAGCGGCCGTTAGACGGTGAGGTGACCGCGCCCGGTAGGGGCGGGGCGGTGATGCGGCGCGCCGGTAGGTGCGGGAGCGGAGAACGATGTGAAAGACGAGGGCGTAGGGGACGATACGCCCCAACAAGCAACGGGAGCGCCTCTGCAACGAAGCTGCGGGTGCTGCGCAGTGGTCGGTGGCCACGTGACCATTCTCGTCTCTCATAATCCGTTACGAGCCAGAAGCCTAGGATAGCTTTATAGTTATTGCTTTCCGCTGACATACTGATGATTCCAGACTTCAGATGACACCACCCACTGTCTTTTGCAGCTGGAGGAGATAGAAGTGTAGATTGCACAGTGCTGGACCAGAAACCACTCAGACTGTCCTTCAGCAAATCATGCAGATAAAAAACAAGGAGCTGAAGAAGTGGTCTGTATTCCTTAGAATCCTACCCTACAGGAAAACAAGACAGCTTGGATATTAGGAGAAATGTCTTCTCAGAAAGAGTGGCCAGGTGTTGAAACAGCCTTCCTGGGAAGTGGCAGAGTCATCGTCTGCAGAGGCATTCCAGAGCTGCGGAGATGTGGCTCCGAGAGATGGGGTTAGTGGGAAGAGGGGCTGTGCTTCATGATATTTCAGGTCTTTTTTCATCTCAACAAAGATATGATTCTGTGTAGAGCATTTATCTGTAAAACACTTCTACCTGAAAAATTGCTCTTGGTGTAGCAGTTTCCATTCCCCCTTCCCCCCCACCCCCCGCAATGTTTTTCTGCCTTCAGACTCAGCAGCTGACTGCTACACACACGGCTAACCCTTATCCTAGAGGCATAGCTGGTCTGCCCATCGACAGTGCTTTGTGAGTCCCACCACTGATTTGTAATCATACTATACATAACTTCTAAAGCACTACAGGTTTGTTTTGTTTGTTTGTTTTAAGTTCTACATGATGGCATTTATACCCTCTTGCATTCACATGCTACAATAGGGGCAAATATTAATAGAAATGTATTTCCACATATTACAGCCATACATGCTTTTTTTTTCCCCTGACAATTCACTTTAAGGATTCCAGATAAAAAGAGGCACAACAAATCTGTAACTATGTCCCACTGTACATCCCCTTGCCCCCAGCCTCCATCTGTGTAGGAAAGGTTTCAAGGTAATTAAAAAATGCTAAAAACAGAACTCTTTGTGGGGTACGGGGTGTTGTGAGTCCTAAATAACAAGGGAAGCGAGGTAGTAATCACAGCCTAATGACTTATTTAAGGGTCATTGCTGACAGCTAGGATTTTTGTACCGAGGGGGAAAGAAACTAGGAATAGACACGGTGCTAATAGAACAGAGGGTGCATACTAATACAGAAATAATGCATGACAGAACAGTCCCAATCCAAAAGGGAAGCAGCAAGGCAAAGTTGAATTGGGCAGCCAGCCTGACCTTATAGGCCTGTTAATGAAATTAGAAGTTTCTGAGCCTTTGCAGTTGTAAACAGGCTCTCAAGAGGCCTACATTTCTTTATCTTCTTAGGTACCCGTTATTTCATTTGTTACAACTTTGTTACACCAAGTGTAACACTATAACGTAATAGAAAGTACAACAATAATCGTAGAGTGGCAAAGTCTTTAGCTGCAGCAAACAAGGAGCAAAGATAAAAAGCTGCTTACCTTTGGAGGGCTTCAGGTAGGCAGGGATCTCCTGCAAGGTACCCTCACCTCCACTGCCAACCCTTAAATGAAGTCTGAGAAGGGGTGGATCCTGGCTCCAGCCCTGCTGGTCACTCAGGTACACCGCATGCAGCTGAGCTTCCCTGGGCTGGCCTTGCCTTCCCACCAGGTGCTCCATCACTGCTTCAGGCTGTGACTTAGCATTTCCACTACACCAAGGAAATTTCTCATACAGAGGAGGAAAGAAACTGTTTAAAGATTAGCATCACCTAATTTTTAGTTGTTTTGTCTTTTGGTCATGCTAGTAATTAAGCCTTGATTTTGGAGTAGATCATATATATCAGTATCCCCAGCTGTTATGGTTTTTTTTGTTGTTGTTTTTTAATTTAATTCCCAAGAGCTAAGCAGTGGTTTGCCAAGTGGATGTGGTAATATGCACGCTGTAGAGATAGGAAGTACCTGCATTTTGTGTTTCTGCCTCACTGCAGAAGTACTAATAAAATACAAGTTTTCCCCATGCATGGCTGTTGGCAGACACAACTGATACCCTGATCTATATAGAAGGTCTTGTGAAAGCAAGCACCTAGCAGATACATGGAAGATAATTTGCATTTCACAGCTGAAGTTTGCAATTCATAAATGAATAAATATGGAATGCATTGTTTCCCTATTTGGATGTTTACTGGTCAGTTGCTTGATCCAATTTATCCGGGTGGTGAAAAGTGATAATAACAAACATATAGCCTGCACCTACATCTGTAGATTATGGCTTGTATTTTTCTGTTCCTGAGATAACCAAGCAAGTCTTTCTTTTCCAGTGTCTTCACCTCAGCCCAGATAACTTGGTTCAAGTCAGTTTTGCTTGCCCTAGCATAAATTCAGTTGTGACATCACAAAGGTTACCTCTTTGTTTCATGGCAATGACTGAACTTGGAAGAGGAAGGGGCAGGAGGAGGCACAGAAAATAAATCATGAATACAGGTGGGAAACTATCCATCAGATCTGGAAAGGTGCTCAGGAAGCTGAATACTTAGAGTTTAGCCTTGAGAGTTGAACTGGTAACTTCTTGCAATGTGGTTACTTTCTTTTGTGTTTTACTGTTATACCTGATCTCCTCTTCACTATCCTTTTTCCTATCCACTGGAGGAAAATAGCTGAACATCTTGCTTGAGCAAAGTGATAGAACAGCTTATAGTGCTTATTACTCTTAACAGGCATCGCACCTCTATCTATGGCAGGGTACTACCTCAGGTTTTCTTGACGAGTACTCTGAAGATCTAAGAACGGTCATTTGCATTGCACAGATCACTGTTCATCTCTGTACAGCCCAGAACACTAGGTATCAGGCCTGTATAATCAATGAATACACAGATGTTATAATTATGAAATATACCAGAGAGTTTGATTAAGCAGGTTATTATACCAAAAGAGAATAGATAGAGTGCTTACCTGTGTCATGGGCTCACTGTAAAACTCCAAAGGAGAGATCTCCAGAAAGAGATCCTTCCCTACTGGTAGTCAGCTCTTAAATGGGTCTAGTAGAGGTGGAGCCAGGCTTCACCCCTTCTGGCAGCACAGGTGAATTGCCTTCACCTGTGCTTCCAAAGCTGATTCATTGCTCACCTCAGCTGATCAATCAGAGGTTCAGGCCATGATTCAGCAGTTCCCATACAAGGCTCCAAACCATTATCAATTGCAACAACTGCTCTATTATCATACCATTTCCTTGTTTAGCCAGACTAAAAGCCAAAATGTTCAATGATGTGTCCTGTGCTCTTACTGTGATTGCTTTTTATTCATTGTTGGTTTTTCTCTTTTGATTTAGGTTAGACCATAGTTTAGACACAAGAACTTGGATCCTGACAACTTGAGTACAGAGGCAAAGAAAGGACTATCACTTTTGGATGTAAAAAAGGCAACTTTTAGCTATTTGCTTCAAAGGCTATCCTGTGGGAATTACAAGACATTTAGCTAGCAAATTCATTCATCTAGGTTTTGTTCTGCACTCAGAAGAGTTGTCAAGAAGTATTTCCTCAATGGAGGATGACAGTGACCTTGAGCAGAGCTCCTGGGCTAATTTACCTGATGTCTGTCTGAGGCATGTCTTCCATTGGTTAGATGACAAGGACAGATCTCAAGCTGCGTTGGTCTGTAAAAAATGGAATCAAGCCATGTACTCAGGATCCCTCTGGAGAACCAGAACCATCACATTCAATGGCCAACCATCAAGGGCACATGCATTTGAATTTGAAACTGCACTGTGGTACGTCAAGAAATTTGGCAAGTATTTGGAACACCTTGAAATCAAGCTATTGCATCCTTACAGTACTGTCTTTACCCGAAAATTTCAAGTGTCTATGAGAAGCCTTCTCTCACACTTGGGTAAATGTAACTGTCGCCTGGTATCCTTGAGCATCAAGCACCTGGAATTAGATCGCTTGGTCTGGAAAAACATAGTCAGGGCTCAGTTTATCAAGAACTTAGGTACCTTTCTGAAAAGAATGAGCAAACAGCTTAATTATCTCAACTTAAAAGGAGCAAGAGTAACCTTGGAAGAAGGCTGTGAGCTTTTGAATTCTCTGAGCTGCCTGACTAATAAAAGCTTTATATCTGAATTAAATATTGAGGATTTCTTCAGTCTCCATCTTCCTGTCTACAGCAGCACCTTGTTCCATCATACTGTGTCCAAGTTCCACAGCCTGGTTATCCTGACTTTCAATTATAACTGTGTGTCTGATGAACTGCTGGACAATCTGTGTAAGAACAGTGCTCATTCCCTGTGCACCTTGAATATCAAATGTCATATCCATGACCCCCATGGGCAAGTGGTCTGGGGAATGTCATGGGCCAACTTGGCCAAAAGAGCCCCAAAATTGAATGTGAACTTCTACTTTGAAAGAGTCATGAAGCATGACCACCTAGCCAGGATCCTACTAGTGGAGATACCAGTCAGGAGCATCAGTTTACGAAGCTGCTATTTCAGAGACCCAGACTGGATGATGAGACCTACTCTCACCAACATCCTTCCAGCCTACTGGCATGTGCTGCAGGTAAGGCAAGCAGTCATGACAACTCACTGCACAAAGCTAAGCAAAGTAATTGTATAGGCATTCTACTTAACCCTAGGAGTTAGCCATTCCAGTGTACCAGCTATATAGTCCAGTTCAAGTGATTGTTCTTGTCCAGTTATAATGTCCATTATGCTGTTCTTCACAAATGTCACTTATGTCAGGTTGCCAAGCACGTTTTAGCATGATGAAAGCGTTCAGCATGAGATGCCAAAACACTCAAAAAATACTGGTGGTTGTAAAGCCAGCTGTGAGCAAAAGGAACCTTCAGGCAGGAAAGCATTATTTTTGTAGGAAAGCTGTTCAGTCAAAGCATTTTTGGTATCACCAAGGATGTATCGTGAAAGGTATTCAACAGCTGACCCATATAAATGAGCATCAAGACTATGCGTGCCTGAGAGAAGCACATGGCCTTATAACTGATATGTACTGACAGATTTCTCTAAGGCCTAATGCATTGCAGAGTTTGCAGTAGACACCACAGATCTGTAAAACTTTCTAGAAATTGGTTTTAGATGTACTTTTAATCTTGAATTACTTCTGGCATGCAAAATAGTGTCATGGCATGAGTTATGGGTATAGCACCCAATGGAAGTTGTCTGTCTGTTAGGATGGTATATAACGTACATGGGAAGAAGCTCATCTTTATGGGAGAATGAAGATTACCACTGCATATATTTTTGACATAATAAAAAAATGGTTCTCTGCTAATGTCAAGGTACACAGCTGATCTGCTGCCAGTCACTTCTGTTGGTAAAATTGGGAAACGCTTTTGAAGTCTAGCTAGTGCAAGCTTTGTTTTGTAGTACTGACTGTGTTCTTTCTTTTTGAAGAAATTAACCCTTGAAGTAAACAATGACAATGAGCTGCTGGATGATGAGCTGCTACAGCTCATCTTATCATGCAGGAAATTGTTTTTTCTGAAAGTCTGGGCATTTCTTAGTGTCACTTTTGTGGAGAGGTTGCTACATAATCGTGCAGAAAGGAAATGCTTTTTAACTACAATAAAGGTAAGACTCAAAGCTTCAAAACTCCCATTATCTACTACTGTCTTCCTCTCTTCCATATCCAGAGAAATGCTGGTCCCCATAATCCCGCAGTAAGGTTAGAGAAGGAAATGTTAACATAACTACCTTCCCTATATAATGTTTTAGCATTATAAGAATCCTGAGAACCACTTCGAAATGGGTCTTTCCAACCTACTAAGCCATAAGTAGGTATATTACAGAAATTATGTAAATTTAATAACCAGCACCAACCATTCCACAAGTCTCTGCTAGTCTATGGGTCCCCTCTGTCACCTCCTAGATTAAGCTAGGGATTGTCTGTTCCACTCAGGCCTGGTACTTGGATCTATGCTTAAATTGAAGCATGGCAGTTGAATCTCATTAAACAAAAGATATAAACACATCTCACCAAAAAGGGATATTGTATTGTATGTGGCCACTCCACTAATGCAGCTAGTGTAAACCATGCTGTCATACTATTTTGCTTGCTGGATTCTAAATGTATTAGATCCAGAGCCATGCATATTCCAAGAATGTGTCGATCTTGAGGGTAAAAGGAACTTTCCTCTTCCCAAAAATTCTTTGGCAGAAGATGAATCATAATTTTCACTCAGTTCAGAGTGAAAACTGTAAGTAAATTTTAGGCTTTTATTCTAAGAATCTGGCTTCTCCATATTCTTCAGTACTAACAAAGGCTTACTTTTGCCACGAGCTTTAATGGGCTGAGACTGCTGCACGTATCTGAGACACATGACTGCCATTCATGCTCACAGGTCAGGATTTACACATCCCGACAGGAGACCAGTGAGGAGGAGCAGCTGTTGCACACTATTTACAAGAAGTTCAAAAATCTGATTGACTCAGAACTTAACTATTTTGTCATCACCTATCCACTGGTGTAAAGCCACAAGGAGTTGCGTCTGCAAATGATGAACAAATCCTTTGGAGGGCATTAGTAGGAGAACTGAATCTTGTCAGCATGCCTCTGAAAGGAAGATACCATTGTATGCAAAGGACAATTTTACTATGCCCTGGATTAAAGTGTTGGATTTGGGAACCAGCCTCCTATGTCTCCAATATCACTTATTCTTGCCATTTTTTTGTTTTCCCTCACCAGAACCAGAAGCAGCAGTGAGCTCTTTCTCAGCCTTCGCAGGCACCTCTAGTAAAAATAAGGCCCTCTTCTTCATTCAGCACTTCCCATTGTAGAGTTTCAAATAGCTTACCAGTGAGGCCCATTTGTTGTTTCCATTTTACAAATAGGAAAACTATAACTCCTATATAAAATAGGAGACATGAAGTGAGGAAACGATTAGCCCAAAATCAACCTTGACTTGACCTTGATTCAGATGCAGTCAGGTACTCCATTCCACTGTATCATCATTCCCTAGTTCCTATTGAGTTTAATATACACTCTATGCCCATTTCTTAACAGCAGATGTTAAGAAAAGCAAAAACATACCGTGGCTAATCCTGGCAGTCAACACTCCCACTTGACCAGCTTACCAGTGTCTTGTGAGAGAACTGCTCTAGCTTCCACAACTTCTACGCCTCTCAATGGGAAAAAATATCATTGGTTGTACCTGAGATAACATGGAAAGCACATTCCTTCTTATTCTGGAACTTTATTGCCAAGTGGGAGATTTCATCAGACATTCTAGAGCACAGTCCTAGCTGTAAGTACTATGTCTGTTTTAATTACCTCTAGAATGAATTAATTACATCTAGAATGAAGACAGCATTAATTCAAATCAATAAATTTGGAGTTTGTCAGTAAAAATCTCAGCATGAGCTGTCCAATAATATGGCTTTAAAAGTTGTTAATGCAAACAGACTCTCTCATCGGCTTGCAGAGCACTTCATCAATGTATAATGTATCTGCCTTGATCTGGATCTCCTCCTCCAGGGAAAGCTGTCGACGTCTCAGACCTTTCAGCTCTTTTTCAGCCAGTGCCAGTGTGTCCTTTAACCTAACAGGGAAAATACAGCCAGAATTTAGTTGAGAATACATAGATATTTTGTCATATACGAAAGAAATTCCATGTGAAAAAACAAGGATGGGGATTCACAATCACACAATATCCATGCAGTATCCTTTAAAGTGTGCTACCCTTAAGGAAAAAGCATGTCTCAAAATTTCATGGAGAATAGCTGGGACCCAGTGTTACTTGGACTATTTATTTAACCAAATAATCCATAGATTTCCCCACTGTTTCATCATTCCCACTTGCCTTTGAATATTGTTTGTAATCTCTTGAACTTCACTGGTCAACCTATATTGCACTGTGTCATAACATAATTCCACTCCAGGGCGATGGTTTCTTGCCTCCAAGCGGGTTTGAGCCACTTTAACAGGTCCTTCTTTATCAGCAATTGCTTTCTTTAAGGCTACAATGTTCATCTCCTGCGAGGCAGCCTCCTTCATCACCTTAACAAATCCAACAGAAGAAAGCACAGCACACTTTCTCCTATGGTGAGCAAAATCCTCAACATCTTGTTTAATAGCTATAGTAACAGTAATCACAGTAACACTCATTATGTTAAGGTGTTATTTTATCAACAGATTTTCACAAAAGTTGTCCAGGATTATGACTGGAGAGGAGCCAACATCATTTTAAGTTCAGTGGTTAACTTTTACAACTCAAGCACAGCTCTCATGTATCGAACTTCAAACATGCTGGCCCTGATTTTATAAGCCATTAAGCTCTTACAGCACAATCACAAAAAACCCTTAGCAGCCCCATGTATCTAAAAATCACAAGGGAAATCCTGGCTTCAATGAAGTCTACTAGAATACTTCAGTCAATTGACTGATTTGAGAAATTCACCCTTATAGCAGTGCACATTTGGATAAGTAAATGAAATCTAAGATGACTGTTAAAGGAAACTGGGGCAAGAGGGAACATTGCAGCTGTTGCCAGTATTGCAAAGGTAAAATTCTTAACCACAGTAGCTCAAGACACCTCAATACATGGGACTGAGCAAACTGGTTGATAACCAAATCTTGCTGTTTACATTTTCTTACTGACGATCTCCTACAACTTACCACTGCAAGGAGTGTCTCTAGCTTGTGCTTGGCATCTCTGACTTCCTTCACTCTATTTCTAAATGCGATATTCACCATCTCATATTGCTTGCACATGTCATTCACTGCCTGGGAGAGGATGCTATCAATCAGCACCCTTAGTGCCCTTGAATTGTTTCTCTGTTTGTCAGCCTTTTCAACATTTATGTTTGAGAAATATAACCAGTCTTCAGGGCTAACAAAACTGAAAGATTCAAAATAAAAGGTCATCAGCTGTCAGCATCTGCTATTTCATAAATCTATAGTTACTCCACAAACCAAGCACGAGTGTAAAAGAAAAAAATAAAATCAAACATTTTGCTACAATCTCAGAACAACTTTGTTATTATTTTCCTTTCCTGTTAACAGACTGAGTTGTAGCAGAAAAAGGGAGGAAAGATATGGACAAATAGGAAGGAAAGATATAATAACCAGTATTTCTTGGAATATCTTTCATCAATGAAGGTGTTACTAGTAATACAATTCAGCTAGTATTATTAACACCAAGTTACTATGCACACGTTAATTGTGCACACAGGACACCCCTACATGCTTACATAGTCACTTCCAGCAATAGTTGAGAAGCCCATCCTCAGAAGGGGAGAGTGGTATCTGTGCACTGGTGGCTGGTAGGCAGATAGAAGGAAGTCCCTCAGAGATTTCTTTGTTTCATTGGGTATCTATGTAAATCTGTAATCATTATTTGTACATAGCAGCAAATGCTGTGCTGGGTGTGGGTCTGAGTTACACAACCTGTTGATGGACACTAACATGTGCTAGTGGTAAGAGCTGGCAGTCTCTTGTGTTCCAAGCATGTCAGCTCGCTACTTAGCCTGTTTCTTCTTGCCAGTCTGTTCTTTTGTAGTAGGTATTTCTTCATCTAAACCACTAATTCACACAAAATCTGCACACTGGACAGATTAATTAACCTCACACCTCATCTGCCTCAGTCCAGCATTTGACCTGCTTGGACACCCTGGGAGAGGAGAGGAAGTTAGATTAGTGAATCTATTCTGGGTTTAAGCCACGTGAGAAATTTACTATAGCTATCTGTGAGCGTCAAAAACTTCCAGTGAACAGCAATTCACTGGAAATATGATTATTGTGGCTCATTTCACCAATGTATTACACAGATACTAAAGTGATGGACAGAAGTATAAAAAAATTACACAACTACAACAGAACAATGATGAATTGTCTTACAGCTACTTTAATCTTGCTGCTGCTGCAGTAGTTCATCCCATAATTAATATAATTAACGTATATCCATCGAGTTAAATAACTACTTACTTTCCTTCTATTTCCACTGTTTTATCAGTGTATCTGACCTCAGGAGTGTTGTTTGTCAAGCTAGCGCAGTAATTGTCAATCGTCAAAGCTGTGAACTTGTCTTTCACATCCATTTCCAGGTTGTATTTTGTGGAACGGTTTAGTCTAGAAGAAGAGGTGATCGCATTCTAAGCCAAAGTCTAGGCATTTATAGGTCTCCCTAACACGTATGTGAGAAATGGTACATTAGGCAATGCAAATGCTGCTCACAAAATTCTTCATTCACAAACTGTTATTTGCAACGTCCCAAGACCTAGAGCATGGTTCAAACTCCTTATAAATCAATGGTATAATTTCAATTGGAATTAAAGTCACAGGACTGGCTGAGAAGGTCGTGGATGATGTGGTAGTACTTTCAGTTCTAACAGAATTTCTTACAATTAATTATCAAATTTTATGGATTAGAACAGGACTTCTATAACTGTCTAGCACTGACGGTAATCTTGGCCCTGCATTCAGCCTAACATAACTTCTCAAGATTATGACTGTCCTGCTTTTCAGCTAACCCATGTTTCGTTACGCTCTTTGTCTCTGCACCTGATTTGCTCATTGGTTTGTTCTAATGTACGTTCAAGCAAAGCAATAACCCCCTGCAGAACTCCAGCTTCCTTGACCAGTTCCTGTTCCACTTCATCATGCACCAAATCAGTCCCAGCTCGTCTCTGCCTAAATAAAAAGAGGAAAAGCATCAGTCACAGTATTAAAATGCCTACAGCTAACAGACAGTGGTGAAACCCAGCATTCTATATCCAAAGCCTCTCCTTGCCTTTATGGGCTTGGCCCTCCAATGTTATAACACAAACCAGACAGTGACTCTGCTGCACAAGCAGGCCCTTAGTTTGCCACTGTTCTAATTATTTGTTAAAGGTTTGTTACACAGATTTTCTTCTCTCCCTGAATGTTTTTCTTCTTAATCTCACCTGTTCAGGAGACACTTTTGGGAAACTATAAGTGGCTCTTTGCAGCTCTCCAAGGCTTTCTCCAGCCTGATCTTGAAAGTTAACAGTACCTCTGTCTCATTAACAAGTTGTTCAAGTTTGTTATCTAACTCTTGCTTCCAGAACTTTATTTCTTCCAGTCTCTGTTCTGCATAATGAAAATTTCAAACAATTGTTAATAAAAGCCAGAGCATTGTTGGTCATATCTGAGATACGGCTAGAAATAGAATGACTCCATTATGGTGTGAATTTCATGCTGGACCTGATGTATGGAGACATCATTTCATACAAAATAAAGAATCCACCTAAAAATATTTTTGGATAATATCTTGACTTCTCCGTGAGATCAGATAACATGCCCTTGACATATATTCCTACTCACAATCATGTAATTTTCTAAGTCCCTCTTAAACACATAGCTCAAAAGACACTTGAAAAGTATACATGGGATTACCTATTTTCTTGTTGACACTGCTTTGGGTTTTCTGAGTTGTCTTTTCTATTTCATCCACCAGTCTTTGACTCTCAGCTACTAAGCGCTCTGAACTGGATTTCTGAGACTCTGTACTGGCACACTGCATCTTGTTTGCAACATGCCATTCTGAAGAATGAAATTTGGGTGGAGCTTGGAGCAGTCTGGCCATTGTTTTTTGAAAGGTTCTGCATGTAACACAGGTGAATTCTTGGAATGTGGAGCCTGAAATCAGGAAAAGGATTATATTTGGCTGCAGAAGCAAAAATGTATAAAGATGGGTCCAGGAGAGTAGAAAAAAATTCTTGTCCCTTTAACCCTCAAAAAAGCACAAAGAAACAAGAATTTGGAAATGGAAGTCAGAAGAAGAGAAGAACAATCACAGTAAATCAGAAAGAAAAAAAGTTAACAAATATAAGAGTTAAATAGTATCTTGCAAGTTAGCGATGAACTGTAGACTGTAAAGAAAAACAACAACAGCAGCACAGTCATTGGAAAAATATGAGAAAACAAGACCTGAAAAACTGAAGGAGAGAGTATACCAAATAAAAGTAAATTGAGAAGTCTAGGGAGGGCTAAACAAGAACAAAGAACAAAGGGACGCTTCTAATGCAGTTAAACCAATGCCCCCAAAATACAGAAATACAGTCACAGCATATTGATTCAATATCAATTTTCCTTGATTCAATATCAATTTTCCTTTTAGGGCACTGTTTCTTCAATGTTTCTGAGGTAACTTCTCTCCCCAGACAAACACAGCAGTTCCTCTGCAACACATAGTTTGTCCCTGCTCCAGCACAGGCATCCTTAAAACATCTCTTTCTCCCTTTAACTGATAGTGCTTCACACTGCTTATTCCCAACGTCAAACCCCAGCTAGACGCCACATCTTCTGTTCCCCTTCACCATGGGGTTTGCTCCCCATGTGCAGTCCCTATCTCCAGAGCAGCACCACAGTGTATTTTTAAATGTGAGACAAATATTCCAGGACAGGGCTCTGAACGACACTGGAGGTCAATGAAGTGGTTGCTATGCAACATTGCTTCTAGCAAACCAGCCAGCTTTTGCTATTACATCAGGTGGAAAAGTACAGCACACGCAAGCCAGGAGTACTTCCTTTCACTCACTGACAGATAAGGTCTGTCTAGAAATAAAAACTTATTGTATGTTAATTGAAACGTTTTCCACAGCCCTGGCCAGTAGTTTTTAATGGATATATTGTAGAAATGCATTTAAAAAATCTGAAATCAAATGAAAGGTGTGCTATGTACCTATCTAAAGTTTCAGTTTTACAATATTTTTAGCAGTATTCTTTATCCACTCCATTTTCATGGGAACTATGATCTTGCCCTATCTGAGACAAAAGACTAGGAGCCTGAGAGAAGAAATGGAGGAGAAGAAAAACACTACATTAGATGCTAAAGTTAAGCCCTCTGTTATGACCATAGCATAGAATGACATTTCTCAGTATTTCCCAGCAAGGTTCAAAGAAACTACAAAATAATAAGGAAGCAAACAGTAATAGTCAAAAGACTTTGAGCTAGTCCAAGACATAAGAGTGCAAAACAACTGTAATTATTATCTGCAGCAATGGCTAGAAAGCAATCTATAATCTCAAACACTAGCTAAGTTCTCAATGATCGTTAAAACTGATTGCCACAACACTTCTCATGCAAGCTGCCATGTATATATAAGTCTGCACATACTCCAGAGAAGCCAAAAAGACCTTGCAGCTGAAGAAACACTGTCTCAAAAAAAAAGATGCAAGTATTCCAGAGCTAGCCAAAGGAAAAAACAGGCTTCAGAAGACAAGGGTGACATTAAAAGTGAAGCTATTAGCTTGAGGGGAAGAGAAGCTAAAGATTCAAATAAGCAGAGAATGGGGTGCAGTGCCAACAAGGAGAATGATCAGTATCTGCCAACTGAGGAGGGGGCTGGCAGGGAAGCTGTGGTCAAAAGCAGAACTGTGACTGGGCTGAATATTTTGACCAGAAGAATCAATTACATAGACTACTACTTAGACAGACCTGTAAATCCATTTAGACAGTATTGCTCACATGAATACTGCAACTATTGGTACAGGAGAGTAAAGCATCTAGGAGCTGGCCCTCTGGAAATATTTATTTCCTAACAAACACTCTTTAACAGATCCTTAATATAAGGTGCTCATAGTCTAAAGGTTTTTTTTGTTTTGTTTTGTTTTGTTTTTTTTAAAGCACATGAACAGCTGGAGCAAGACTAGAGCAGTTTATGTAAGAACTGAAATATTTCCTTTGACTTAAGTAGATCTGAACTCAAACATAGTTTGAGCAGTGGGTTACTTTGGACTGGGCAAGTCCCATCAGGCTACATACATTTTTGTTGGTCTTCTTTCATAAAACCTTGTTATCTATATGCTCAGTACCATTCCAATGTTTTTAGAAATAAGAGCAAATTTTTGAGGGTCTAGAAAGCAATTACTCAATAAACCAAAATACTGCAATATCTGATATCATACGTTCCTTAAAGCATGCTCAGTCACTTTAAAAGCAGCTGAATCCTCAAATCAGGTAATACAGTTTGTTTTATGAGGCCTATGGGATTTCATTAGATTGTGGTCTGAAAACCCAGTACCTACAGCCTTCGTGAAGTAGTACATTAACAGTCACAAACCCTGAAGCTGTTCGTGGTTTGCCATAAAAGCTTATTTGCTTTTAAAATAACATTCCATATACAACTTGTGCCTTAATACAAATTCTAAAACAGAAGAAAGTTTTATTTTTACCTCTGGTGGTTTTCAGGGCTTAAGTCATAGTAGATTTCCTGAGCGTGCTGTTCATCAAACGATCAGCAAAATCAACTCAGCAACTGCGATAATTTATGAAGAAATTAGGGTGGTTTGCTAATTCCGGAGCAGCCCCACCACTCCTCAGAGGAGAACATAAAACTCACCCCTGCCTACCGCACCGCCTGCCCCGCACAAACCGACCCCTCCCGCTGGCAGCGCAACGCCTCCACTCACCCAAACATCCGCCAGCCAATCGCAGGCGCCACTCGGCTTCCCGTAGCCAATCGGTTTGTCTCCACAGCCTCGCCCGCCCCCCGACGCGCTTCTTACCAACGGTCGCAGGTTCAGGCTCGTGTGCGTACGCTGCTGCGGCCGCTGTTCGGGCTTTGGTGGCCTCTGGCGGCCCGCGGGGCTCTGTGGCGCAGCGGCCGCGCTCGTTCCCCAGCACTGCCAATCTCTTGCAGCAGGAAGGGCGCGGAACGGGCGCGGGGTCACGGGATTTCCCGGGCACCGGCACCCCGGCTCCGCGGCACCAGAGAAACGGCCGAACTGATGCCCAGGTGGTCGTTGTGATGTCACGTACGACCATAATAATCTTGACATTGACATTATGCTAACAAAACATACACATTTCCAGCTCTAAATTCACAAAGGCATATTTTAATTTTGTTACAATTTGTATTAAATGCCCCAGGACCACCTGCTCTCTTCACCATCATATCCTCGCAGAAAGATGGTGCGGCGCAGCATCGGCTCTCCGGGTATTTCCTGATGTACAGAGTGCTGAGGCCTGCACAGTGCTTTCCACTGTGATCTCTGTAGATGGCACTGCTGGGCGTACTAAAAACTACATCCGAATTCCCACTCATGTAAATACAAGCCAACAACAACAACAGAAAAAAAAAAAAAAAAAAAAAAAAAAAAAAGCAGTTGCAAATGAATTTAACAGCACAATCAGTAGAGACAGACATAAGTCAAAACCAACTCCGATGCAGTTGAAATATCAAACTCTGTGTTTAGTGAGCTAACATTTTACAAATCCAGTGAGAAAAAGTTGACTGAAGTCTGTACATTGTCTTGCAGGTTACTGTGTAAAGTTAACCGTTCAAGATCACAGAGTCTTGATGTATATAACGTATCTATTCCAAAATGTGATGTCAGGTAAAATGACCTATCTAGTAGGTATGATTAAAAAGCCCAGGTTTATGGGATTAACTTTATAACATTATGTGAACTTATTATCAGTAACAATAAATGCTTCCTGTATAGTCTTTATTCATAGACCCATGCATGTTAAAGATGACTATAGGGTGGGGTTTTTTTTTGCTTTTTCACATTTTACTGGCATTAGGATAAAGCATGAGACTGTAGCTCATTATTAGCTGAAACTAACTTGTAGGGATGACAGGAAAGATGAATGTGGTATTCGGCTACAGAGTTGCATGATGAGTTTGTGTATTCTAGTTCAAACATGCATTTTACTTCTTACTACAAACACTGTTTTGTATTGTAAATCTGTATTATTATGTAAAAAGTATTATTATTTAATATTATCTTGATTACTGTAGCCTATTCCCTGTCCAAAGGCAAAGTACTACACTTGCTTCACAGTATCACAGTATCACCCCATCACCATTGTATGCTTTAGAAATGGGAATAAGACTGTGATGACAGCAGTAGTTCTCTGTCACCATGACTCTGACCTTTGTGTGATTTCTTAGAACAAATCAAATTTATTATATATTACAGTCTCTCTGTAACGTGCTTGTGGACATAAGAAGGCACTTTCTTTGAGGGAATTACAGGATGCAGCCTGATTTTTGTCCTTTCTTAAGCCTTTTTTGAATCATGAACAAATTTTAAATGACAATCTTTTACAGGTTTACATAGAATATAATGGGGGCTGACAGTTCCTGTTCATAAGGTTCAAACCAGGCTATTTGATTATTCTGTGATAACAAAGTGTGTTTAAAGGCTGAAAGCGTGTGGGTTTTGAAAGTTTTAACAAGGAAAAATATAATCACCTAAACAGTAGGTAATGGCTCTGCTAGGAGTATTTTGAAAATCTGACAGAAAAAATTGATCTAGCCTTTAGAAATAGGATAAAGATGCCAATAAACTATCTGAGTACTGAATTTTAGATACAGTGTGGAAACTGTAAAAAAGAAAATCCAAGACACACCATCTGTATAAAATACAATATGCTGACTTAATATATTGCTCTTTTGTCATTCACGTTAAATACGTTTACCATCATATTCATACACATCGTATTACTTTTAACTAGAAACACTAAAAAAACATCAGGGGCATACTTTTCATACATTATTAAATTTAATCATACAATCTCATCCAGGCTATATATTATAGACCAGGCATTCTCTTAATGCATTTAAGTGCACTGTAGTTTTCTGTAACTATGTGATAATACCATATCTATCATGTCCTTATATACAAACCATCAGGAGTTAAAACCAACTTACAGTCTTCTACTCCCCAGCTGGCAAGATATCTTTATGATCGTTTCTTTAAAGTGGGAGGAATTTTGGAAACTGTGCAAATAGCTTTTGGGTAGATGTGAACAAGCTAAACTGTAGCAAAAATGTTAATTCTCCTTAGTGAATTGACAAAACTTCTTCTGCCTAGAATTTCGTTTTTTATAATTATTTGCTACTAGACCAAAATTGGCCAAGCACTTAACCATGTCTTTAGTACTCAAATCACACAGGGCAATCATTCATGACCTGGGACTGTGAACAAATTAAATGTATAAAGCTGCTACTGCCAGTAATATAGCTGCAGTGGAACTTGGCTCTGCTAGTCAATGAAAAATATTCTGCTGTAAGAATGGAAATGCGCACATCACATACGTACTGCAGACTCATTTCTCATTGTGCCTAATTTGATCATTTCTCCAAAACACAACTACAGTTTGTTCATTTTTACAGAGCGTTTGTTGGAACAATTTACTCATCAGAACTATGATCATTCAAAAAAAGTTAAGAACCAAAGACAGTGGCAGACACATTACAAATAACTTGCCTGTTCTCTGTCCACATGCACTAAATCTGTGTGAGTAGTGCCTGGGACTACTACTAGTTTGATCATATATCTTTCAGATACATACTAAGATGTGCATTTAAAACATGCTTTCAAGCTGTTTCCAATATGTTGTAGAAACAGGCTAGGCACACTTTGAACAGATCTTGGTGATCCAGCTCATCAGCAGTTAGGTTATACTCTACCTTTACATGGTTTTTTCTTTTCAGACTTTTTCTGATAAAGTGGTTGCTTCATTCATGGTTTCTTAAGTAAACTTCACTGGAAAGGAAGGATAAAATAAAATCCTTCTATAGAGAAGCAGTAATTCTAAAGAGCATTTGATATGTTTTATTATAAATGGCCACCAACACAGAGCCAAAGTCATTTTTTTAACTATCTACAAAGAGCATAAATAAATGCAGGTTAAAAACCCATTCTCTAGCATGAGTAGAAGGCTTGTGGCTGGCAGTTTTTACTTTATATAGACTATTCTTAGAATAGAAATAAGTTAAAAGGCCCTAGGAAAAAAAACATGCTTGTTTAGTGCTTTTGTTTACAGTGTTCAATGGAAAAACAAAGCTATGTTGATTTAGCAAACAGAAAATCAGAGAAGATAAAACATGAACTTTTTGTCTAGCAATTCTGGTGTAAACCCACTCTAGTTAATGGAGATACTGTTGATTTAACATTATTTTAATTGAAACCAGATACTAGCCCAAGGCATTTTAGAGTTCCCACATATTTCATACTTCTTTTTTTGGAACGCTGCCTGACCACATTAGAGAGAACATGAGGACTGAACACGCTGTGAAGGCCTCATTCCTGTCCACACTGGACCATTGCTCTCCAGAGCTTAGAATAGTGCCTATTTAACATGTGCACATGTGCATGCACACATTTGCTGAAGTGGGATGGTGGAAGGGTAATATTGCTAAATTTGCTGAACAGGATTTTTCTTGTCTGTCTGCTATTACTTCTGTGGTATGCTGAGCAAAGAAGTGGAAGTGAAGTAGCTGCCTCCTAAAGTTTTAGCTGTATTTTTAGGAGGGAACATCTTCATAGCAGAATTACTTGTCAGCATATAAAACTCTCTAGCCCAGTAATGTAGCAACAAGACAAGGAATTATCCTACCAAAAGAGGGTAAAGATTTGGATTAGATATTAGGCAGAAATTATTTACCATGAACACAGTGAGGTACTGGAATTGGTTGCTCAGATAAGCTGTGGATGCCCCACTCCCAGAAGTATCCAAGGCCAGGCTGGATGGAGCTTTGAGCAACGTGATCTAGTGAGTGGCAACCCTGCCTGCAGCGGTGGGATTAGAACTAGACAATCTTTAAGGTCCCTTCCAACCCAAGCCATTCTGTGATTCTAACAAGACAGGAGTTGAGATTTATCTTCCTGTAACCTTCAAAAGAATATTAAAAATTCAACCTACTATTAGCACCAAAAGTACACAGGCACTGCTCAGCAACACTTCAGTCAGCAAATACAATTGAATGCTTTTTACTGTCCACATGCTTGCAAGAACTAACAGTGTTCTATTTGCAAAATGTCAGTCTTCCCATTAGCATAATATACTTGATCATTCTGATTGGATGGGTGGTGATGGTTTTATTCAAAGCGTCGTAGATGATTGTACAGAGATTGGACATAGGTGAAGACACACATGGGATCTGGCTTGTGGCCCATCATCATCATGTCATCCACTTCTATCAGACGATCACAGTGAGCCATTTTCCTGTAGTAATAATAACACAGATTCAGCAAATCAAGAGTTAAAGCCAAAACCTTTAACTACCTCCAAGGTTCTTTGCTGCTCTGAGTTGAGCATCACTGAGGTATATAAGAAATGCTGAGATTTATCAGCAACAGTGAAACAGTTAATAATATTGGTAATATTGGAGTCTGTTATTTTAGTGATCACGGAAAATACTTGTTCTTTCCCTCTTTTCCTCTATACTGTGATCTGACCCAATCTTGTATGGCCTTTTTCACTGTCCCATGTTTCTGTGGCATGTAATATAATCTTATCCCTCTGCCCAAGACTAAGTAAACAGGGCAAAATGAGTTTGCAAATTATGAGTTTTTCTGCATATTAAACAGAAAACTTCTAAAGAACGGGAAAACATGAGATCAGATGTGCTCATTAAAAGCTAAAGTGCTGTGGGTTCTTTTTGTTTGCTTTCCCCTGCCCCTACATGAGCAACTTGGACAACAATCTGAGATGACCATCATGTTGGAGAGCATAAGCCTAACCGAGATCTGGAACATTGTGAAGAAAAAGAAAGGTCTGCTGAGGCCTGGGATTAAAAAATCACAAGGACAGTAAGCATTTGAGCTGCTGAGCTCACATTAAGGCTAACAGCAATAGTTGAGAAAGGAGCCTTTTCTGGCAATAAGAGAACAGTTTAGAGGCCATCACAGCTAAGAAGTAATTTCTGTAGATATTTCTTACCCAATGTCTCTCTTTGTGTGCATGCTCGAGTTTTTGACTTTTCCCTATATTTATCGTTAGATTGAAATTGAGGTAAAAGCACACTTCAATTTTGAGAGTTGTATATATTTTAACTTTAGAGAGTAACCACCTGAAAATGCTGTAGTGTCATTTTTAACTCACTGATGTGTAAAAAATTTGTGTGCTTATTTGTGTAAAACTGTGATTCCCAAATTATGTAAATCATTTGCCAGGTGCTACAATAGAGACAGCCAATGTTATGTTAGGAGTTTCAAATCTGGAAGAGCCCCACAGCTTCAGTGTGGTGGTAACAGTGTTTGGAGCTGTATCAGAACTTGCAGGAAGCTGTAGCAATGTATCCCCTCGTCCTACCAGTATTTGAAAAGAGCATATTGAACCCAGATGTATAACACATGGAGTGGTCTTACTATTACACAAGTGAGCAAAACAGCAAGAAAGAATCATATTGATACAAGGTCAGAAAAGCTGGCCTTTCTTACTGCTGTTAAACAAAACAATGGAACAGCCAAGACATTCCCACTCACGACAATTTTAACCACCATCATCATTTAATTGCTTTGTATACTGCTTCAAAAAGGACAGTATGAATGAGGGTATTAGAAGAATCCGTTTTACAAAAAGGCAGTTATCAGGTTAAGAATGAGAAGCTATCAACCTCGATCAAACTCTACTTATACTGAATTCAACCTCCATTCTTGTTCAAACAAAAGCAACACACAAATAGAGGCAAATGGCTTCACAAAGGGCAAATTGTACCTAACTTGATGGTTTTCTATGATGGAATAACTGCATCAATTGACAAGAGAAGAGCAACTGATGTCATCTACCTCGTCTTCTGCAAGGCAGTTGATGCAACAGAAGGAAAGAATGCCATCCAGAAGGACCTGGACAAGCTTGAGAGTGGGCCCACATGAACTAAATTGAGGTTGAACAATTCCAAATGCAAGGTGCTGCACTTTCTCTGGGGCAATCCCAGACATGAGTACAGACTGGGAGAACAGTTCATTAAGAGCAGCCATGAAGAGAAGAACTTGGAGGTTCTGACGGATGAAAAAATTCAATGTGAGCCTGCAGTGTCCACTTGCAGCCCAGGTCAACTATATCCTGGATGCCTCAAAAAAAAAAAAAAAAAAAAAAAAAAGTAGCAGCCAGCAGTGCAAAGGAGGCAGTTGTCCCCTTCTACTCTGCCTTTGTGAGGCACCATCATGTTCAAGCTTGAGGCCCACAGCACAAGAAATATATGGAGCTGTGGGAGAGGAACCAGAGGAGGCCACCAAGATTATCAGAGAGCTAGAGCACCTCACATATGAAGAAAAGCTGATGGAGTTGAGGTTGTTTAATCTGGAGAAGGCTCCAAGGAAACCACATTGCAACCTTCTGGTACTTAAAGGGGGCTTATTAAAAAAGAGAGCAATGTTTTACATGGGCAAACAGTAATAGAAGGAGGTAGTATAGTCTCAAAAGAAGAGAGATTTAAGTAAGATATTAGGAGGAAATTTTTTAGTTAGAGGTTGGTGAGGCACAGGAAAAGGTTGTCCAGAGAAGTTGGGATGCTCCATTCCCTGGAGGCATTCAAGGTCAGGTTGGTGGAGCTGTAAGCAGACTGATCTAATGTCTGGCATTCCTTCTTACAGCAGGGGGAGGTAGAACTAGATGATCTTTAAGGTTCCTTGCAACTGAAGTCATTTTGTGATTCTATGAACCCTCACATGAAACTCAGTTCCAAAAGTTAATTTGCTTGCTCTTTCCTCTTCAAGGGTCAGAGGTTTTCCTAGAGACATTGCATATACTAACATGCCTGAGATTCAAATCATGTTTCGGGCAAGTGGGATTGGCAAAGAAGCTACAAGTTGGATGTCCAATTCTGGTGGGCTGTCAGTAAAACTTGGATGCATTGTGCTCTATGAACTCAAGTTTCTTTCTTATGACTGACATGGACAAATCCATGAAGACTTCTTAATTACTTGAAAAACAAAATGAAAAAAACAACCCAAAACAACCAAAAAACCTACAAACAATACTTTCGCCCCCAATAATTAAAAAAATAATAATCAAACAGAGAGAAGTAGTATAGACTAGTAGGCTTTTTATTCCTCTAAGGTTAACTCATTAGCCTGCTTTCTCAAGTTTAGCTAAGGCTGACAAAGTAACTGCAACTAAATTTTTCCAATTTAGATGATATGTTTATGCCACAGCAACTGCAACGTTGAATTGCACAATTATACTGAAATGCTTAAGATCTGCAATTGTTTGCCTAAACAGAGAACCACACAATAAAATTCTTTACATTTCTAGAAATGTAAGTTTTACATAAACTATAGCACTGGCTGCCTCTCCCTAATTCTTTAAGAATTAGTTTTCCATGCTTGCAATTTATCTTTTATGAACACTGGAAAGAAGTCACTTTATAATGCACTTCAGACCTCTTGACTTTGAATATGTTACAGAACAATAAAGAGATAGGACACAGGGTTTTCACTGGTACTGAAGTTTCTGTTTCTCTCCATTACAACACCCTTATATCCATTATCTGTATCCATTATATGAATACCATATAATGGTATACATGGTCCTGACAATGTTGATAAAGCCAAAGCTTTGTTCCTGTTACTTTCAGAAGGGGAGAGAGGAAATGCCATCTTAACTGGTACACACCAGTCTGTTGCTAAAGAAGCATCTGTGGGAACCTGAAGGATCCGTCTATGCAGTTGAGTATGCAGTCAGATCAGTTCTGCCCATAACAAAAAGTTAGTCTCCACTTCACATGGTCAGGAGAGAGCACTGCAGTGCCCCAATTAATAAACCATCAAATACATAACACTGTGATGCTAGTTATAACAATTATTAATAATTGTAATTAATATTAATATATTAAATTTAATTGAAATGTTGATATTAATAATTATCAATAATATTAATATTATTAATTATTTTCCCAAGTAGTACATAAAAGAGATGCAGAATAAATCTTTGCTGCAGACTGAAGAGTAATTTGCATTTATTTGTATTACAGGTATATACTATTCAAATACATTCACTAGGCTGAACTGAGTCTGAGCATCACTTTCCACAGATGCAAACTTCTGTAATTCTGCATAAGTAGAATTTGTTAATGCTAGCCTATGTGAAAGATTAACTGTCATTGATATTAAAATCTATACAAAAATTAAGATACACGATAAATGAAGTGGCAGGCTGATAATTGAACAACTTTCCTCCCTGTTAATAATCTTTTGCAGACCTAAGCAAACATCAATGTAAGTAGAAGTCAAACATGGCTTCTACTCAGCATCTGATTCTGCATTCCTTGGCCGCAGAGAAGCTAATCAAACTGCTCAATTAAGAAATGCAAGGACAAGAAGTCATACTGCACACCCACTGGCAATGTAAAAACACAACAGAGACAATAAATATCTAAAATGCACCTTAATCTACAGGTTGCAACTTTCTTTTTCTGGCAATCATTCGGACAGCTAAACATAGATCATTCAAGATAAAAGTATGCAAGTCTCGCTTACCAACACACAGCCATCCAGTAGATTGTTAACAATTACTTCTGTCATGCAATCTGTTCTGTTTATTTTATGTTCTGTTTCTAATGGGCTGGGCTATATACATTCTGGGTTTTGTCTTGTGTAAGTCCCAGAAAATACAAATTTGTAAGGTTTAGGAACTTTCCAGATAGTCATTTATGAGACCTGAGAAATAATATTCTGTCAATAATAAACTCTGTAAAATATATTTGCCAAGGCTATTTTCCTTTAAAAGCAGCATCCCATTGTAAAGAAGTTCTTATCAATACACAGTACCAAACCTTGGAAGACAAACATTTACAGCAGACGGTAATAAGGCACCTTGAAGTGTGACAAGTGCAAGCTGTGAATTTCTACATCTATGTAGAGCACAACTGAAATCCATGACTGCACATACTCTCATACGACATACTGAAAAAGCTCGTAATGCATTCTACAAATGTAAGGACAAAACTACAGCACAGTCTTACAGCATCAGGAAACAATGAGAAGCAACAGAATTAAGGACTCCACAGATTCTTTGAAGCTAATGGCTTTGTGCAGTAGCAGTCCTGTTAGCAGTATCATCTGTGGTAAAATGCAGTGGGTGAAACCCACTGCTAACAGAGGCTGCAGCAGTCGCATATTCTAGTAGTTGCTTCTAGGATCACAGAAGTGAAAAAGCAGAATTGAACTACCACTCAAAGACAGTTAAAGATCTGAACATGGGACACCAGTCAGCTACACTGTGTCTGGCAAAACCACATATCATTTTAGATTTTGTTCTATGCATTCTTTGTGCAGAGCTTTGTTTTTTAGCACAACACACTTCAGTTAACGATACAGAGTCTACAGAAAGAATCATTAAACTCTTCACTGCTGTCCAGCTTAATGAGATTGGAACTGCAAGCGCTTCAAAGAGATTTAAGGCAATACTCACTCAGCCATGGTGAAAGCCAGCTCAAAGTTTTGTTTGCGGTTAGCTGGATCAAGCTTATTATAATCAAAAGTTTCAGGAAAGAAAGAATGTACAAGAGCACAGAATGCCATCCCATCATTCCAGCTTGAGGAGAAGTTCTGGAGATCAACGTGCTGTCGTGATGGAAAAAACACACATTAATACAGCGCTGGAGAACATAGAAGAGCAGTTGCTTTCACTCACTGTAGTTTTCTGTCCTGTTCTTCCACTGACTTGAGTATCAGAGTACAGACTTTATGTTTTTTCTTCCTCTCTGCGCATGTCCAATACATTAGTTGTATTCTGCTCAGTAATGAAAGCCTCTTGCCTGACATGTCCAGATACAAAGCAAACATACACTCAAGGTTCCTGATCCCAAAACCCAGTAAAATACTGTGAAGAATCTTGTGAAACTCAGTGAGCTCTGGAGCAGGCCCAATGTACCAGCTCAGTGTCTGTGTACAGTGAGGACATTACTTGTGCCTATGAAGTATTTATAATTGAAAAATGGTTCACCTTGTGATAATAAGTAATACTGGACAAAGACCTGCTTACTTTGCTGCTCTGTAAGGCCTAATTCATTGCTTGTTTATTATACAGATTAGTAGAAAGACAGGAAGAATTAGGTCTACTGCAGACCCCGATCCTTAGAACTAATGTTTGTTACTTTCAACTACCAGAACGAAACAAAATATATTTTGATTGCTAGTGTTGCTTTCCCATCATATAAAATTTGAACCCCAGATTTCCTCTTAAATAACTAATAGACACGTTCATTAGCTCTGCTGAAGGATACTGTGATGTAGCACATTTTACAACGTGCTGAAAAACATGCATTACTGGGAAAAAACCCACAGAACTGGAAAATTTTTCTCTTTCCCCTTGAAACTGCTTTGGGAATTATGGCTTAAGGCTAGGTAAAGTTACTGAAAATCTCAGCAACTGAATTCTCTTATCTACTGTGATGTTGCCTTACAGAAATTAATTCACTAACATGCTGTGATTCTGTCTCAAATATTTAATATAAATTCACTTATCTAAAATCAGAAGAGAATAATTTGGTCTTCTGTGTAGCCAAAATGAGACAGGTTCTATGTACTGGCAAGATACTAGTCATACTTTATGTGATGAGAATGCAAAAATCATATTCTGCATCTAAGAAAAACACATGTGTATAGTGGAGTCCATATATGTAACCACAGAAGTGTCAGCTTTCAGAGCAAACGCTGCTGCAGTGCTTTGAGAGACATACAAAATCTCATTCATGCAATGACTGTCCTGAAGTGCTGCCCATGCAACATGTTACATGATGTCAGAACACTGTGACCCTGGGGGAAGTTAACTCACTGTTACACTCAGTTTTTGAGTAGGTTCTTCTGAAAAAGAGTTGGAAGTGCTAATGTCTTCACCTTGTATCCTATGGTTTTTGAGCGACACCAGTCTAACAAAATTTGTTTAATGCTGCTAGCGCTGGCAACCCCAAAACTCTGCGATCTCTTCAGTTTTGGTCTGGATTGTCCTTTTCCTCTGGAAAATTAACAGAGACCAGATTAAATTACATTCTAGAATAACTTAAACCTACTTGTCAGCAACGTTTATGCAACCTTGCCCAGATCACTCCCTGATCAGGTGATAGTTGAGAAACACGTGGCTAAAACTTCAACCTGCTGGTTCTGCAAATAAAACTAATTTTCATTTCACTGAAGCCAGGATTTTGAGTCCTCTTCTGTTTAAATCATGCCCTCATCATGATGCATAAGGAGTAGTCCTTGTTTTTCCTTCCTTAACAAATGACAACTGAAGGCTCTCAGTCTCTTCTTTTAAGAAGAGAAGGCAGCTTTCACAACACTCACAATAAAAGGCATCAGCTTCTTCAGCTAAACAATTTCAAAGATAGAAATCTGTACCTGTAAATTTCCAGGGCTCAATTTGCAATGTCAGCAAATCTATATGTTACTTTACAGCCCCCTGAGCTCAAAATTCTACACTGTAAGAGTCTTTCCACCAAGTTGTCCTCTGCTAGCAATAACAAATTAGTTTCCCATAAACAAATCCATTCTGGAGATGTAAGAGAATGACATACTTTCCACTGTCTTGCTCGAATTTCTCAAAAAGTGCTTTCCTGGCCTGTGTTCCTGTTGTTCGTGGAAGCGTCTGAGACCGTACCAGTTCTCGCCTTCTTTCAACTTGGCGATGTCTAGTAGGAGGAGAGGAGTGAGGTTTGGGTGTCACACCACAGTAACTGTCAGTTGCACTAGAAAACAATTACAGGAAAACTATGTGGTTAAAGAAAAAAAAAGAGGTAGCACTCTGCAGTGCCAGCAGTCAGCATAAATGCCCAGTGTTGCCAGTCAAAACAGCAACTTCAAAAGGACGTGAAGGCGTCAAAAGCAATTTAAGTGAAGATTAAAGTTCTATTAATAGACAACAGCACTCAAGTACGGAAGGTTCTAAGGTACTTTTAGGAATGAGACATAAGCCACAAAGCTTTACAGCCCAAAGTAGAAGAAAAGCAACACCTTTAAGGAAACAGACAAATTAAAGCAAAAGTTGTGGACACACAGAAGTACTAAATCCCTTTAGCTTCCAACTCTTGGTTTCCCAGAGGATTTAATTCACATTTTAAAAATAAACTTGAACAGTAATTCATGAAGTAATTTTGAAAATTTTAGTTATAGTACACAGAATCCTTAGCACATTGGTGTTGCTTCACTGATTGCAACTTGAAAATTTGATTAATATAAAAGATTATATTTTCATTTGTGTTTATTTGAGCAGTAAACCACTTCATCATTATTAGTGAACTAAGCCGGAGATAGCTTTGAAAGTGCTCTCCATGATGCAGAAACTGAAGCAAACAGTGTGACATTGAATTTACTGTTCTGATATATTGGATTATTTATATATATTATATATATATTATATATATATTGATTATACATTGAATTTAAGTTCTGATATATATGGAGGTCATTCTCCTGACAGCAAGATCCGCAAGGTGCTTGGTATATCAAATGTTGGAACAAACTTGGAAGAAACGTTATGTCAAAATCTGGATGATTTTCAAGGCATGAACAAGCTCAACTTAAGAGATTTAAATTGGCTGTTCTTCCCCTTTTCTTGATGCATATTTTGCATGCCAGGTTTGCCTGGTTATGGCTGTAGTAATTGCCATACCATATAACACTATACTAACTGTGACTCTGTTTTAATTAAAAAAAACAAGTATGTAGTAGCCATTGTAGTAGCCAAAGTCTTCTGTATCCTGCAATGCACTTATCTACAAACCAAACTCTAGTCTAACCAAACTATGGATGTTTAATGGCAGTCATTTGCTGGCTTTCAAAATACAAGTCCAAAGCAGAAACTGACACACCTGACTATTTTTGAAAGTGTTTTCAAAGGGCCTGAGATCTCTTTTCCCCTAAGAAAAAACCACCAGAGTAGTATAGTGATAGTAGCACAATAAAAAAAAAATGTGAAATCCACAATTAAGTCTGCTTTAAACTGCTCTGCAAAAGGTTGATTGTTGGTTTTGGTTTTTGTTTTCTTTCCCCCTTTCCTTCTCATCTCTGCTCTACAAAGCTCTCAGGAAGGCTCACAAACTTTAATGTGTTTAAATTACAGCATCTGGGACTCACCTGTTCTGTAAGTCAGCAAGATACCTCATCAAGAATATACAAAACACAATGGCCTAACAAAACATCAAGATAAATGCTTACCTTTCACCAGTTTTTTTTCCACTACTAGCCTCATAGCTTGCAGTAGAGACAGGCTTAGTGACAGATGTGGCATTCACTGTACAAAAAAAAAAAAAAAAAAAAGAGGATGTATCAATGTTGAAATATTTTTTATCTCCTTTCTTCATACTTTTTCAAATCATTTCCTGATAAGACAGTCATGCACCACTTTTCACCCACTGCGGTAAGAAGTAGCAGGCCTCTGTCATAAACTCACATCATCTAATCATAAACTAACAAGCCAGAGAGAGATTTTCCCCAGGGCTCTATTCCCACAGCAACACTGTTGCATTGCAGCAAAGATTGTGTTAACAGGCCAGAAAAGACTGTGAGAAAATGCCTTTGATAAAACTGTGTTGGGACCATTAGATCCTTCTAGGCCCTTTTGCAGACCTTAGAGGAAGGCATACTGCCATGGATATCTCACTGAAAGGAAAGAAGCATGCTATGACTTCGCTCACAACAGTCACTTTGGCATACCTAAGCAGTATTGGGATGTCTACCACAATTGACAGCATAATTTAAATTACCCAATCTTGTCTTACACTAGTAACTTCTCTAATTTTAAATAGAACATACTCCAAAAGTGGCTCAAAACCAATCTTGCATCTTCCTCTTCTCACTTTTGAGGTTACATCTTTTGTGCTTTCTATCTTAGAGCCCAGTACTAGAGTCTAGCTAGGCACCACAAATGTGGAATAATAGAGTGACTTGTCCAGATTTAACACACTAAAGCTAAAACTTTTTGTGCAAGGCTTCTTTATTTATTGAAAACTTCTTATATAGACAAAGATGAAAGACTGACATCTTAGAAGCAATTCAACCTAATTGCTATCCAAATCACTCTATGAAGGCACTGAACTCTCCCTGCTGGCCTATTAAAGGGACTCAGATCAACTAGACATCTCATTTATAACGCTCTGTTGAATGCCAGCATACAGAAGTGAATCTGGAACCACAAAAAACTGCCAAACAGCTGTACAAATCCCACAGGTTTTAAGCTAGGGAGGAGTGTGATTTGAGACCACTGTGGAATGCCAGTACATTGTCTAACGGTAACAACTTGGTGATATAAATCAGAAGCAGTTTTGGATAAAGCTCAACTCATCTATTCCTACTGGAATAAAAAGTCCATAAGGGATTTGTATATCACTATGCAAATATAGGTAGGTGCCCACTTAAACTGATGGAAAGCCCAGTAAACTAAGAAATGGAACTAGATGCTCAGATCTGAATCCCCCAGATATGGAACATGGAATCCCTCTCAGACTGCTTTGCATAAGGATACACTGGTGGGAATACTCACCTCCACTGGCAGATGAAGTCACTGCTCTCACTGAAATGGGCGGTAAAGGGAGGAAGCAATAAAGAAAGGCTTTCCTATATTCTTAGCTTGAATAAGATAAAATTTGAAGGATGAACCTGCAAATAATCTGTTTCTCATTGGCAATTCCATCTGATCTATCTCCATAGTTTCTGATCAATAAAGCATCACCAACACTAAACACACACGAAATACAGCCCAAAGACAAGTTACCTGACTATAAATCAAATGACATGAGCTATTTTAATTTAAAAAAAATTAACTTACAGATAAAATTCTGCAATAACTCTTTGTCTACATGTCAATCGGCTGTCAGTCATTCCTCCCTCCAAACAATTTTTAAACCTGTTAGCATGTACTCCCTTAACTTCAAGATACTTCTTCAGTAACTGTACTAGAATATAGGTTGCACTGTGAACTCAATTATACTAGGCAACAAAAATTCTCAGAAAATGTGACATTATAAACTCAACCTCCAACTAGGACCCACTGTATTACAAATCAGAGAGTCCCTTTATGGAAGGGAAACCATAGAAGCAAGGTTACATAATTACTTCCAGGTTACAGGACAATTTCCACGTCCCTAGTTTCTTGAAGTAATGAAATGAAACAGAGCTTCAGAAAACAGACTGCTTTTTTTTTTTTCTTTTTTTTTCTTATCCCCGTATTTTACCTGACTGGTTGGAAGTTTTCAATGCCATCTCATTTTTGCTCTGGTTTTGTCCAAGCAGGCCAGTGGATGCACTAGTTGTTCCTGCTGAATGGACGGTTTCTCCTGAAAACTTCTCTGATATTCTGGTTACTGCAGTAACGGGAAGGTGGGGCATCTGTAAGGTCATTGCAGGAGCATGGGCCTCAGGGGAAGAGTCTGACATGTAAAAAGAGGTCAGCTCATGGGAGGCTTTTGCCTGACCTGGTGAATTAGAGAAAAGCAGAAAGGAAATAAATCTACGTAACACTTGTGACAAAATTACAAACAAATTTCCATGCAGCAACTTTATTTTACAAGTCAATCGAAGTATTCTATCCAGTTCTCCCTCTGGGACATTATACCATTTACAGCACTCTGCAGAAATTGAAGTACAATCCTGGTACCTGTCCTACATGACATTCAGCAAAAACAGCCTTTTCAGATTATTAATTCATTAGCACCTACATTTGATAAACTCCTCCTCTTCCTCTGTGCAACCCAGTCATATGATGCAGATTAGAAATCAGCATCCTTCTTTTCTTAGTTTCACAAAATGCTGGGCACCTCAGTTTTCTCTAAAGTATTGATAAGAAGCACTGCCCCCAGCGAAGGATGACTGAAATAGATTGGTAATTTGCAAGACGTAAGGCTTTAATGGAACCCAGAATAGCTGATCTTATTATCAGGGGGCACTAAGATAATGGTCTCCAGTTTATGAAACACCACATTGCATGCTTAACAGTAAAGCTGAACATTAAAAGTTAGACTCCTATTTAGGAAATAAACAGCTGCAGCACAAAATCCATCCTGAAACCATTTCAGATTTTAACAGTTCCAACATTCAAAAGCTGCTCTATGACTGCCAGAATCAGGTATTTTTTTTTAAGTAATCCTTCAGTTCTTGCCCTGTTCCTACCTGATGAAGACTGATGCCCATTTTCAATGATGGAAGAACTAAAAACTCTTCTAAACTCAGGTTTGTGGTGGTCATCCAGGTCTACACTCTGTCAGAACAGAAAATGGACACAACTAAATTTTAAACAGCATCAAAAGTTAGATTATCCAGAAACCCCAGCCGAGAACAGGCCTTCCTTTACTAGTGATCATGATACAGGATGGGAGGAATTATTTAATTCCAGAGGCCAGAACTTGAAAACCGAACACTGGCAATGTACAACTCATATCAATCCTCACGTACTTGTCCCAGCAGGGCCCATGCAGCTAGCAGGGATCTTCCACTTTTTTAGATAAAGCTATCAGTATTCACTGTGACTGTGATAAACTGAAGACCCTGTCTAATAGTTGAGAGACGATAGAAACAGGAGATTTGTAACTCCAGATCAAATCTTCCTGTTCTACTCCTTTTATTTCATCAGAAAGTCTGAAAGACTGGTGTTAAAGTAAGGCTGTCCACCATACTAGGAGCACATGGAAATCTGAGATGCTTCAGAGGACAAAAATTTCCATCTATATATGACAAAAGATAGGTGAATGTATCTGGTATTTACTTAACCATTTATTTGGAAACAAAACCTTGATTTACTCAGTATTTTCCAGACAAGATGTTTAATTTACTTCTCCTGCCTGTTTCTGAGTCAGTGATCTTGCTGGAGTTACATACGCACTTCTGCGCTTTGCTAGATAAAGGTCTGGAGGTTACATAACAAGGCAAGTTTGGTCTGTTTAACTTACTGTTAGAACATGTAAAAGATGCTGCTTTCTAAAAACAAGCCAAAATCAAACAACCACAACTTTTAGCACAATGCGCCTTATAGCTCTGTTAGAAGAACAATCAAACTTTCTTTCATGCCCCAGTATAGTTTCATATGCACCTAAAATAGCAGTGGTCCAAAATCTAAAACTCTTTTATAAGCAAAAGAACTATTAGCTCCAATGTTTTTTGTGGGATATCTTTCATTTAGAGACTTCTTGAAAGAGGAATTTTCATAAAAGCAAGCTCCTCAATCGCCTCTCTGTGCTTTGAGGACAATCAAGGCCACTAGACGTTAGTGAGAACTGCACCACAGTTATTCCTCAGTTCTTCTACTAGAGCAGAAAGACATTGTCAGATAACAGGAGTATTCTGTAACTGACTGCTCAGCTTGAAGAAGCAGCCTTGAACAGCATTGCTTTTGCACATGGAGTAATCTCTGAAGAAAAAACCGTAGAAGCACTTTTCACAAAACCTTATTTTGATGCAAACCTGGATTAAAAAATTGACAGGAGAGAAAACAACTCTAGCTTTGTAGCTTCAGCAGGTGTTCACACTATGTCACAGTAAAACAACAACAAAACAGGCAAACAAACAAAAAATCATCTAAATGAAAATTCAGGCAACTTTGGAATGCCATTATTCCTACAAGACACTTACAGGAATTTCAAGAAAATAAGAAGAAATAAACATTATGACCAAACTTCCTGGTCAAATACAGGAGTAGATATGACTTCATGGTACACAGTGCAAGTTGACTTCTGGAGCATTTAATCTGTGTGCTTGTATACTGCAGGTCTTTGTATCTCATGCAGTTTACTCCTGCACTGTTGAGTGCCATCAGGTCCCCAGACACCGATGAATAATGTTTGTTTAGATCTTCATAAATGATCCTAGCCAGCTAGGCAATCACTCTGTTGCTTTCCCCATAGCAGGCTGGTTCTCTGCAGATATCCTTTCAACAGTCTGCCAACACTAAAGAGAGACTCTTCTGACAGTATCAAAATAGAACATCCTTGTTATATTTTAGTCCTCCTTGCTCACAAAGGCAACATGCTGAACAACAAACACTGCAGAAAGATTCTTAGTGATTGTGCTTCTGCAAACATGTGAGATTTTCTCATCAAAAAAAGGTCAGAACTCATCCTTTCTAATAATCACTGTCAGGTAGAAGGAGGCTTGCAAGAGATTACAAACAGCAACAAATTGTTCGACAAAGGACGAATATTCAGTCACACAGCTACAACTCCATGATTCTGCTTTTAAATTCATCCTTCAAACATAACTTCACTCAGTGGTGACACACTGGAACATGTTGCCCAGAGAGGTTGTGGATGCCCCATCCCTAGAGGCATTCAAGGCCAGACTGTATATGGCTCTGGGCAGCCTGGTCTAGTGACTGGCAACTCTGTCCATGCAGGAGGGGGTTGAAACTAGATGATCTTTGAGGTCCTTTTCAATCCAGGACATTCTATGATTACCTATCTGTAACTGATAGCTTTGCAAAAGCTGATCTCAGTATTGGGCCTGGTTATGGTTAGAGAACCAAATTAAAGACTGGCATCAAAATACCAGAAAGACTGACTGTTGTTAATCACAGTTGTTAACATCTAACACTAACACATAAATGCACACTTTTCTTTTTTTGTTTGGCTTGAGAGCAGCACAGTCATCTGGTAGACTGGAATACTGAGCACCATTCTTGTAAGCAGTTTCACACAGTGCTGTGTTCTACATCTGCTTACCTGTTTTTTTTTGTTTGTTTGTTTGTTTGTTTTTTGTTTGTTTTTTTTTAATGTCACAACCAGAAGATGCAACAAACAGATCTTTGCTAATTTATGTGATTATTCTGTCATTCTCTTACTGCAGATAAACCTTCAGGCGTTTCCTCGTGACATATGCTAGCTAGACTCTAGTACTGGGCTCTAAGATAGAAAGCACAAAACGAGGAAAGCTGGTGAGGGGTCTGGAGCACAGGCCTTATGAGGAGCGGCTGAGGGAGCTGGGATTGTTCAGTCTG